GCGATCTTATTCCTGCCGAAATTATGTTAGCGGCCACCTTTTTGATTTAAATTCTTGTTTACGCACTTTCAGCCCCAAATTTTTCCTTGGGCATTAATTTTAGTCCTTTTCAGTCCTTTCCTCTTTCAGCCATTGTTAGCCGTAGTCCGCTTTTTTCAGCCGTTTTTGCTTTCTTGGCCCCTCCCAGCTACTGATAGCCTTTGGCATCCTATGCCAGCCCTTGGCAACCTTTGTCAGTCCCTACCCCACCCCCCCCCCCCCCCGAGGGGGTGGGGGAGGAGGCGCGCTACTTGACAAAGCTTCGTACCATGCCATAGAAAAAACAGCCAATCAGAATACAGAAAAGTTGTTGTATATTCGACGTTATTACACCCAATCTTCCCATCGAGCGCTGCGATCTTATTCCTGCCGAAATTATGTTAGCGGCGACATTTCTAGTTTCAAGTCTTGTTTCAGCCATGTCAGCGCCAAATTTTTCCCTTGGCATTAATTTTGAGGTCGAAAACTCAGCAGTAAATGAATACTTAAGCGACAAAACACAGCTGACGCGACAAGAAGTTCATATTTTCGTTGAACAACAAAGAAACCAGAAAACAGTCAGCAAGTTCGTCAAGTTTATTCAAGAGCCGCCTCGTTCATGTATTTCTCTCGGTTTAACTCAGTCCAAATTTAGGAACCTTTTAACAACGTTGAATTTTTGACCTTTGCATTTTCTTTCATGAATTTCAATGAACTAACATTTTGGGACGGTTTTTAAATCTTCTGTTCTTTTCCTCCCTAGAGTTTTAAACTCAGTGTGAATTTTGCTAGCGTTTGACTAAAATCACTTATTTGAATGCAATTTTTCTATTCTACTATTATGAATAGGCCACTTGCACGATGACGTCATGTTACTACTACGACCAGAATCATTCAGGGTTTTGCTTTCTTGTGCAAATTACGGCTTTTATTATTTAAGCCTTGCTGGGAATACCAAATTTAAATAAGAAAGGAAAAAGGAAAAGGATTCTGGTCGTAGCAGTAAAATAACGTCATCGTGCAAATGGCCTATTTTAATTAATAAACATTTTGTTACGAATATTTATTACTAAACAATTTTGGAGTTTTAAGAACGGTGTCATTATCTTTATAGGCAATAGGAAGCCAGTCCAGCAAAAACGAACTGAGTTTGCTGGTTATCTTGTCCTTTGACCGGCCAGTTTGCGCTTTTCAGTCCTGTCCGGGATGCGCTTTCAGCCATTTCAGCTCTGTTTTCTTTGTCTCTTCTACATGCTTTGTCACCATGAATGTTAGACTGTTCACAGTCCCCTATTTTTTCGTGAGATCGTTTAGATATACCGCGTCTTACCGTCACGGCTACATCTTGATTTTCAAATGTACCGAGGGGGCGGGCGTCGGGGATTATAGTTCTGGTTGGGGGGGTCGGGGGGGGGGGGCGAGAAAAATGCCCCCGCCCCCCAAGTCACGGTTTTGACACTCATCTAAGATGGCAGCCCGTAACGCAAAGCGCTCGATCTCGATGATCTTACGGAAAAATAGGGGACTGTGAACAGTCTACATGAATGTCTGCCCTTTCGCAGGGAACAGAACGGTCACGTCCCAAAAATACCCGAAAACCACCCTATTCTTTTAAGATGGAGTTTTAATGAACACGTTTTTCCTCATCAACAGGTCAAACCTTTGCTAAATTATAATTAAAGGATGATGGCACAACGCAAAAAGGGTGGATACACAATTTGAACGCCTGCATCTTAGAAGGATATGCATGCCACCTGATGGCATTTCACAAGGCGTTTTCACCAGCAGCAAAGGTATTGTAACCGTTTTTAATCTAGTAAAAATTAGTAGTGTCAACATAATAGGTAACGATGAGTTTACTAATGTGGAACTTAGGCGAGAGAACGAAAAAATTAGCTTAACGCACTGTCTTACAAATGCTCAAACGTATTATACTAAAATGCTCAAACGTATTATACTAATATGAAGATTATGTTTCCGGCGATAAAAGCTAACGTAAAACAGGCAACATTGCAAGTTGTTTTGCAACATTGCTGCATTTTGGAGGGGGCGCGGGGGGATGGGGAGGAGGGGGGGGGGTACAGAACAAAGTTTTATACGTGGAGGTTCAAACCCCTTAATCTTTTGTATGCCATTTTTGACAGAAAAAGTATCCCTTCTGAAAAATTTCATTAACAAATGGTACAACTTTTGCATACCTAGTGAATCCTTTTCAACTGCTGCAAATGGGCTGTTTTTGAAATATGAATAAATCACAAATCCGGAACGTTTTTGCGTCTTTTTTGGTAGCCATAAAAATGCAACTGTTAGCCCTCTTGGGCTTTACAGACCGAAATGACAGATTTCCCTACCCGCTTCTATATACTTCAAATACTGAAATCCTTATCGTTTCATTTACCTAAAGCGTGAAAAAGGAACCCCTTTCGGGCGAAGCTTCCCAGTATAGGCCATTATAGGGAGCACCCCCTCCCCCCCTCCCGGGAGTAAGGGTTCTCTAGTTAGCAAGTACAGTGGAACCCCGTTAATGCGACCACCGTTGGGCCATAAAATCCTGGCCGTAATAACGAGGTGGTCGCATTAGCGGGGTCTTCAAAATAAGAAAATGACTCAATGGTTTTTACGTTTGGTTTGAAAGAATATGGCCGTAATAACGAGGTGGTCTTATAAACGGGGTGGTCGTAAGGCGGGGTTCCACTGTAGGAGGCAAAGGTCCCGTCCGGGGCGAAGGGCTAGTAATAATTTTGGGCGCTATTTAATTTCTACATGCCAAATAAAAATAGTAAAAAGAGAGAAAGGAAAAGATGTAAACTGCATTCTAAACACGTTTTGTTTTTGTCTACTGCAGCTTGTTACGGGTTTTTTTGTACTGAAATTAAAACATCATGAGAAAAAAAAAAAATAGTCAAGTACCGAACAAGCCTCAAATGAGACTGTTGCAAATCCTGGAGGTACCTTTTTGCAAATCCAGGCAGATATATTTTTCTAATTTTCCCTTTGCTCTTAAAAAATTGAAAAATGCATAATATTAGTTTTTCAAGTTTCGATTTGAAAAACAAATCGACTGGCGGAAAGGTACCTTTATCCCTTGGGGCGTGAATTGCAGTTTGGGGATAAGCTCAGATCGCGTGGGTATTCTTCTTAAGGCTTTGAATCTCGTTTACTGCAATCGGTAAACATCAGATTCAAGTTGACAAATTTTTAAATTCGGAAAAGAGCAGATTGAAAAACTGTTTGAAATAGTTCTTGTGGATAAAACTGGCACGGAACTATTGCCAAGTGAGATTCTCCAAAAACCACATGTAACTTTATTTCTAAAGTTTTTCATCCTTAATTTAAACCTGTAATGTGCAATTCGTATTTCATGGTTCATGTCACTCATCTTATTTTTTTATGTACAAAGCAATTTACGACGTTACGAAGCCTACAATTTATAGCACGAATAGAAGTCAAATAAATAACAGTACCATGTCAAAAAGCGGATGAAATTGTAACAACAACAACAACAAAAAGGATTATCCTATAATTCTCTTACCCATTTCATATCTGCAAAACATCTGTTACTTTATGATTATCTTCATTTTTTGCTTACATTTTTAAAATATAGTACAAGGCTACCACCAGCTTTAACTGCTGAACATTCCATTTTAGAAAGAAAAGAGGCTAGTATACATGTACTTCTCAGTGACGAAATCATTTTTACCAGCTGTCAGAGACAGGAGAAGGAAAACGAGGGACAGTCCATTACAATCCTCTGTGGGATGTAGTACATGTCGAAAAAGGCGTAAATAGAAACGGAAAATTCAACTGCTAAGTTGTTTTTCTTATTTGCACTAAAACGTTAGAATAAAACTTCCAACTAGGAATATATTTTTACATATGAGCAGTGAAATGGCACATGGAAACGTATGCAAAACTGTTACTTTATAACACGTAAAGTAATCTGTCAAAAATACTTTTCAGCTCCTAGATTTTTACCACGCTGGCGTCAAAGCTGTAATTTTTTTCTCCAGAGAAATTCTCCTCGTAAGCTCCGTTATTTCAAACAGATACCGAATCCGCAAATAGCGATCTAGCAGATAACTAGGCGTCATTTTCTATTAAACTTGCTTGATCCACTTTCCTATCCGTCATTGGGTTATAAACAATTTAGAATTCTTCTGCTTTAAGGAAAGCCGCAGTTTCAGCTCTTTTGGGACTCGAGGAGACGACTGAAATTCAGACTTCTTTGAACAACACAAGTCATAGTGCTCTGAAAAGGCGATCTCTAAAGGCCTCAGATTCGATCTGTCATTGTATATGCGATAAGAAGACTCATCATTCTCGTATACGGCAAGTAAATATGCGTTAATGGGCTTTAAGGTTTAAAAGCGTCTTCAAACAGTTCAATCACCTTACAGACCGTTTTTTCTTTTTCGCCTCCTCACTGCATTGAATGGAAAGGTCAGTGTTGGTCCTCTCATCTGATAGATTTATAGCCTAAATGACGCACCTTCCTTATATACTAAGTTCTGTAATTTTCCTCGCTGTTCATCTATCACTTGACTGTGTTAGATCAGTTTCTTCTTGAGCCATCTGCCTCATCTCTAAAGCAAGTTATAAGAGCCCTTGGTATGTAAGTTACTTTTTTTTGGAAACGTTCAATTTAAGGTCTCCCTTTGGCTCAAAACTTTAAGTGAATAATGCAATTTGTTTCTTAAACTCTAAAATTGAAAAAAACAAACAAACAAAAAAACGCAAATCTCCTGAAGACAAACGCCCCTTAGCATAAGAAAATCATAATTGCCTTAATGGTCGTAGTTTTGGGCATTATATTACTAAAGTGTATACCTTTTTGCAAGTGATGGGAGTGGGAATGTGTGAGAGGTGGATGGGTCGATGGACTTTAGAATTTGATTTAACACAGTTTAACATTACTGATGCCAGCATGAAGGTCAAAAAATATAAACGGCAAAAAGTGGAGTCAAGCAAGGAAAAATACTATCTTAGCTATGGTTTTCATTTGCTGTTTTACGGCGTAGCTTTCTAAGTGCTTTCTGTAATCGCTTTTGTGATCTTTTCTTCATCTTCTTCTCTTTCCTTTTCATCTTGTTCTTACGCTTCCATGAGTTGGAGTATCCTGGATGCGGCATTTTTCTCCCATTTCCAGTGTTACCAGCGTTTTCCTTAGTTCTGTATGCTCGTAGCAGCTGCTCAATATGATCTCGGAGTCCAATGTACAGAGAATCTTCCACATTCTTAGTTTGAATGATAATTTTTGAAGCTCGTTCAATGAACTGAACCGTTCTTTGTCCCCTCCGTCCTTTGTGGCCTGGCCTCATTTTGCCGCTTTTGGACACAGCTATAGTCCAGTTTTCATTGTAGGCAGACACGAATTCTGTGTAGTGATTTTCAGCGTACTTCTCGTAAAAGACACACCTTCTCGACCTCGTGGCCTGCAAGAAAGGGCACATTGTTTTACTTCTGCTATTTTACCATCGAAATGATGAATATATGAATTTCATATATTTGACGAAACTGCGCAGTTCAAATGTATGAAATTTGTATATCAAGTTCATTATAAATTTTTTATCTTCATCTTTCGCGGGAGTATTACGAACCCGATTTAATGCCAGCTCCGGGAACTTAAGAATTCAAACTCCCGGTTTTAATTGGCAAAGAAACGAGCTTTGTTTAAACAAAGCAAAAATGTTAAACACTATTACCAGTGACAATAAGAATCTAAGAGTACAGGTAATCAATCTCAGCGCTCGTATAAAAAATTAGTTACAAACACACTGGCGTTAGTTACGAAAACCCTCTTTTCCTGTCATCTCGATTTTATAGGAGTTGTGTCACGAAATTTACCATAATTCAAACGGCGAGAGCTGCCACCAAATTGGGTGAAACATAAAAATAACAGCTCAAACCGTTAAAAAAGGTATGAACAACACAGAAAATACAAAGAAATGCACAGATGAAAAACTTGAAGAAGATTAAAACGGATTGCAGTACTCATACTTGGGGTTTTTGAAAACTTATTAACCTAACCGTTTTAAAAGTTCATTGTTGTTGTTTGTAACGTGTGATTTAGGAGAGATATTCGTTTGATACGGAGCTGTGATTTTTTCTTTTACGATAAAATTCCTCGCTAACGTCATGTTCCTTGGCGAAAAAAATACCGGTGTTATAGGCAAGTTTAATCAAGAGAGGAGCTTTATCCTCTCTTGGTTTAGTCCAGTGAACAAGATAGCCGTGCCGGAGACAGCCCCTTTGACTCAATTTCGAAGTTTTGGCGCCAAAATTATCTTATGCATGCCAACATCCTTGTTGCTTAATATGGCTTCCTCATACTTGCAATTAACTAGTTTTTATTGTGGCACCATCCCTGTGTTAGGACTTTAAGAGAGCTTAGAATTGAATTTGGACCTTTTCCAACTTTTAAAAAATGGTTCAGCTAATTAGGTTTAAGATTAGTTTGATTCGATAAGGATATAATCCCCTAGGCGTCTCCTTGGATCTCCGAAAATAAAAAAAAATATTCTCGAAAAACCATGGATTATTATGTAGTCTGAAAAACTTTGAAGGATACCTTTTTACTTTAAATATGGTTACAGTTCTTGATGTCTTATTGAGCAAGTTATTCAGAAACAGGCTGGACAGGTCGGACTGAATTAACACAAACTGACATTCAAATCAGTCGCAGCCAAAACCTACCATTTTGTCGAACTCATTTGACAGGTACTTCCATAATACGTTTGTTAAATGGTTAAGTATTTAATTTAAAAGGTTCAGTTGCTTATCACTTTTTGACATGTTCAAGAAATCCGTTTGGCTATCTTTTGTCCGAAATGCAGGGAATTTTCCCATGCGTGGGTTATATTGACCAAGTGTCATTCCAAGCCAAATATGTGGACAGCTTCACACGCGCAACGCCTTTTTTTGGAACCGTAGCGGACACTGCATTCTTCTTAGGAACACAAGTGACTTGGTGCACATAATTGTGCTAGAAAATGATTGGGCTCAGTAAGTACAATCCCCTGGAATGCTTTTCTCCAAGGGATGCAAATTTGCCAGATTCCACTGCATTATTTAATCCTTCCTATTATTAAAGAATACACAGCACACTGTAAACATTAGGGGCATAATATAATGAAATGACACAAGCAACAAGAGTTACCTTTCTGCCGATAAACGTTGCATTTCTTTTTATGCACAGGTAGTAATCAGTCAGCGCTCCGCGAATGCGTACCCTTCCGAAATTGTCCGATTCAATGACCAGTTTAGCTGCAAGAAAAAGAAGTAAGGATACATCAATTAGAAAACAGTCTCATGACGTGTCAAACAACTGAGTCTGGTTTGTTTGCACAGGATAAAGTTCGAAAATTCTTTTCGGAAGCTTTTGCATTGTGTCTAAGAATGCTTTAATTTTTGATATGTGTTTCGGTTTATCAGCTTGGGATAGGCATTTTCTAATCCCTCATGCTCCCCAACGTCGTTAAAACCAAATAACTAGAAACAAGCTCTTCCCATTTTTGTTCTAAACGAGCCTCGAAATGCATTTAGAAAAATGAACGTCGTATTATAGAGCTTTTTCCACCGTTTTCAGAAAACCCCACTCATAGACTTAACAGTAGATTTATTTTCGGCCTCCGGCTTGACAGTTTTTTGATCAAAAGGTTTGATTGGGACCTCATAAAGCTATCAACAGAATATACTGACGCCGCTTAGGGCAAACAATAGTGTACTGGACGTAAATAGATTAAATTAAATTCCTCGCTCAGTTATGTGTCGACCTAAGTGTTTCTCTTAGGATTAGGCCTGTGTCGCAAATAAGGTTCTTTTGAAGACAGTAGTGTCCTAGGCGGTCACCATCACATCCTGTTTTACTACGTATAAAGTAAACTGTGAATGCCGTACATACTTTTTTGGTTCGGTTTAGTGATAGCATTAGCTTTTAACATTTCTCTGCTAAAATTGATCTCGTAATGATCAATGCTAAGTAAAGCCTCGCGAACCAGCTAAGCAAAATGCTTTTCACAGTAAACAACATTGAAAATCTAAGACGAAAACTTTTTATAAAATCAACGCATTTATCCTCATGAGATTTTCTTAATCACTCACAGAAAAAAAATGTATATATATAAATATATAGTGTAGGTTGAACTTGTATCTGAGTTACCACATCTAATTGCAAAGTTATAAATGAGATACGTGCCTAGAAATGGAACAAAGTATTTTGAATGCGGGATATGTGGTTTAAACTGCTGCTATCAAACGTGCGGAATGAAAAATCACTTGTTAACACGTAACACTCGAGATAATCGCTTTACTTCGTGGGGAGCCTTTTAAGAGAGTGTTTGACGACAGCTTTAAAGGCGTTAAACTTTCAGATAAACGTTTTAGAAAGTGTTCTTTCGATGATAGCAACAAACAACATTTCTGCGATGCAAGGAGCAAGCTTAAAAGCAAAATTTGAGAGCTTGATATTTTATAACATTCTGTAATTATTGGCAGAATGTTTTGGGTCACCTTTCACTTCTGTCTCTAACTATACTTACCGTACTTGTCTCCATCCTTTCCCAAAGCATCAATTCTTTTTCCATGTATTCGAAGGTGACTTCGACTGGAGCGCGAATACAATTGTGTTTCGCGGTGAAATGGCAAGCTTCTGGTGTCGCTTCGTCTTCTTTCCGTCTTGACGTGCTTATCAAAGTATTTCTCCCGATCCTGTGGTTAGATTTTTTGAAAGAATTTTATGCCATAAAACTGAGATAGATGCTTGCGGTTGATGCAAAAATAATAATATCTCTAGCGCGCTGGCTTACCGTGTGACCATGTCCCAGAATGAAGGTTATGAAGCAATTCCTAAAACGAACGGGAAATTGTGTCAATTTATAATTTCGTTAACCGCTTATACGTGGGAGAAATACATCAAACGTCGACGGTGAAATATAGAAAAATTTTCCGCTTCAGATGTTAAGTAAATTGGACAGTGTCTTATGTCAAAAAATCGGAGTGCTATACTTACAACGAGATAAACAAAAGGTATCGCTTAAATGTCGGCGTATACATTGAGCTCGTTTTGATGCGCGTGACTAGGAAGGCCAGTCGATTTAACATGATTAAAGCTGAGTGAGCACAACAACACAGCACAGAAGAGAGAAAAATTTCCAGCATTCCAAAAACCCACAGTAGTTCTTCGCTCAATTATACCCTTTGTAGTCGACCTCAAGGATGCCGCCGCCTTTCTTTTTGTGTCGATTTTGTTCCATTATAACGTGGTGAGAGTTTGTATGTACCATTGCAGATAACAAAATTAATTAAGGTAATCGCTTACAATTAGAGTTGCGGTAGGTGGGCTTGTCTGGTCTCCTTAAATAAACAACAACGCAGAAATAGAACAATTAACTCGTCACAATAGCATCGACGATTTAGAACTCTTTCCATATTTTTTTTTACCTTCACATTTGATCGTGCGTGAAATTTAACAAGCAATTTGAACTAAGAACATAGAAAGCCCGGCGTCAAAACCTCCCTAAAGTTTCATTCAATTATCCCATGTGAGGACAAATTAACTGGGTGTTTAAGGAGGCGTTAAATGGGACTATTGTATCGTCACTCCGTAAACAGCGTGTCAACTCATCACTTTTAAAAGTTTCTATTAGAAAATTTTGCAACTTTGGTACTCCGCTGTTTCCTTCTTTAAGATTCAATGAATTTAATTTCAAGGAAATCATGAATCTCTAGTGAAAACATTGCGCACCCGGGGAAGTGGTTGAATGATCGTTATTCAGGAAGAACTCGCTGATCAATTTAAGGTTCACATGCAAAGGTATTGTAAGGCAAAAGGGACAGTTAACTCCCTGCTGAGCGAGAGAAAATACCACACTCGAGGAATAAGTATTTTGAATCTTAAGACTTCGAAAAACAAATCAGATTAATAATATTATCATCGATATTATTATTTTTGTTATTATTTTCTCGTTTATGTCATTATCATAATTAAGCTTTGTTTAATTAATTTAGTTAATCTAAATCTACGAACAACCGACGTAGTCTTGTTTTAGCTTTTTAATAAAACAGGATCAGTTAAGGACGAAGAAGGTCAATCGGCAGTAAGCATTTTTATTTCTTTTTTTTTTCTTTTGAAGCAGAAGCCTTTGGATGAGATAGCTGGCATGGTCATATGCATTTCGCATTTTAGTGGAATTTGTTAATAACGTATGTAACAGTGAATTTTAATTCGATTTGGAAAGCTCGAATGCTTTTAAACTAGTTCTACGGAGTTCCTACCCTACGCGCTACTTGGCACGGTGAAGACTGAAGAAACGTTTTCGTGAGTAAACAGATTAGATCGATATTTTTTATACTTCTCAGTCTTCCTCCTCATTTTCAGTCCTCTCCGTGCATAGTAGCGTGTGGGGCGTTAACAAAAGATCTCCAATATCCCGGAATAGCCACCTCCTTGGCTAAACTAGCAATTAAGTGCCTCCCATTTCTTGTCCTGATCCTCTTTTTAGAATATTAAGAATACGAAACATGGAAAACCCAGTTTCTCTTCTCACGATGCCATTATTCGTGTCTGAATGTTTTTCACCGTTCTAGTTTTCCTAATGTACGGGTTGATGGAATGGAAAGGCACTTACTAGCCGAGGCTATCTCACCTTTTCCCCTATCGGTATCTGAAGGTGGAAACGGCTTGCTGCTATATCTTAATTAAGCAGGCTGTAGGTATCTGTATGTGCTTTTGAAAAACGCTGCCTAGGAGTGAGCCGGCTAGCTATAATTAAGAATCATGTGTCACTATGTGGACGAAGTGTAGAAAGCACCAGGGTCAATTCACACACATGAAGTCCACCGTCTAGTACGCATTAGCTTACTTGTCAACGATCTCAGCCCCACTTTCGGCGAAGCAAGACAAATCCTTCATTTAGTTTAGAAGAACAACAAAAAATGGTTTTTCTTGTAAGAAACCTTTCGTTTAAAGAAGGTTAATGGAGTGAAATGCGTAAATTTTTAAGATCATATTGCAGACCGTGAAGGCGGATGATTGGTTGAAAACATTTTATTTTCAGCCCTTTGTAAACAAGTGCACCTTCTTGTGGTCAGAGTGAAAAAATGTAACACAATGTAACTCTTCTTTGTAAATATTGGAATAGCCAAACTCAACCCTCAATGGTCGGCTGGTTACCTATCGTTTACCACTATGCCACAACGAAGAAAATGCAGTTTTAATTTTGCCATATTGTAAGTTATCCTCGCCATTCTTAATGCTTGAATCCTACTGCAAAATATGTTGTGGAAAACCGTTTCTAACCTTGCCATCAAGACTCAGATAAAAACGTCACGTTCTGACTTAGCCTTAGTTCAATATAATAGAGTACTATAAAAGAAGGATTTTAAGACTACAATGCGCTAAAATTTATTTGTGAATACACCCGAATTACTCATGCTTACGAATCTAGTAAAGTACATCATAGACAGAACTAAGTAAGAAAATATGTGAGAAAAGATAGTCAGACAAGAGAACTAAATTAAGACAGCTTTCAGACCAACCAGTCTTTGCGAATGTGTGTTTTTTGTTTTTACCTTCTTCTCTGTTCTTGTTGGATATTAAAACTTGGACCATTAGGACGTGAGCCTTCCAAACGTAGTCATTCTATGATTGAAGAGTGCAAGTTTAGCCCGGGTAGGGAGTGGCATGGGACTACAGTATAGGAATGCAGAAAACTTTTCCTTGCAATGTCAAAGGATTATGACCAAGCCTAAGTGACCACACCTCGAGGTTAATTAACACAGGATGAAATTGGGCGTCACCAACAATCATTCGCAATTCTCACGAAACCTTTGGACCACACGTACTTTGGAACTTGTATGATACGTTTCTCCGTTAAGTTTTTGCCTTTTTTTATAAGTCACCATTGATTTAGAGGTTTAGAGGTCCAAAGCCTCAAGCACAAGTTAGGTAGAAGCAAGCGCTTTGACTTTCTCTCTTTTGAGGGACCTAAGAAGCAGACCAAGTACCATCTCATTAATTTTCCATCTGGTTACTGTTATTTTATGCTTGACGCATTTCCAATATTCATCTATCAAGGTGGATCTTTCCTTAATCATTTTTTTTACTAATGCCAATAACAGCTGTTTATATCAATATACACTGCTGGTAAAATCACGGATAACAAATATATTGTAACGGAGGCCTGAATGCTATTGTCAGTAATTGCCACCCCATACTAACTTGATGATCATCTGAAGCTATATTCCGCTCAGTCCAGCCAAAATGTTTCATTTGTTCAGTTTGAGAGTACATTTCAAATAAGAGATTTTATAAGCCCGATCAATTTTCTACTTACTTTACTAAACCTTAAAATTTTAAAGTTATAGCTTATGTTTCGCTTATTCGTAAAACAAAACGTTCACTTACATTAGAAATATAATTGGATCATTACACCGGCGTTTCAGGGAAACTGCCCCCTACCCCTCCCCTAAGCCAACATTTTGCCCTAAGTAAAAGTAAGTGTTAATGTTGGCTTAGGGGAGGGGCTGGTAGGCAGTTTCCCAGAAACGGAAAATGATCCAATTAAAAGTTGCTATAAGATAGCTCATAAAATGTATTTAGGAACATATTAATATAAACCCCTGTTTTCTTGAATGCGGATAATACTTCTTTTGCATAAATATTAAGTCACATACGCCAAACGATGACCAGCATGTATCGTTGAGTTAGCAAGAGTTTTTTCAGACTGTGAAGTTCAGTTAATAAATAAAACTGTATCTGAATTTTCCACCTTGAAAATCTTTCCTGTTTATTATCAGTCACAATTTCACAGAGAAACTCTTTCTATCAGTTTTCCCAGCCACTCCTTAGCTATAGACCAAAATAAGTCGGATCATTAGGGGAGGGATAGGTGGGCAGTTTCCCTGAAACGTATATTGATCGTTTTTAAACACATTTTAGTTGACTCGAATTTATCGATTAATTTTAAAGATTTTAACAAAACACTTAACTTATTTGTTAATCGCAACGCCTTGTTTGAAACGAGAAGCCTTGTTTGGCGTACAATTGTTGAAGCTTCGATTTTCGGACGCTCGATTATGTCCTATTGCTAAAGTGTTCGATTGGCACAAATTTTAGGTGAGTTCGATTATGTTCGATTACCCAACCCAATCGAAATCAATCGAACGATTGGAGTGCGATCTGGCTCGATTGACTGCGCCTTGCAAGCATGATGGAGTTGCGTAAGATCTCATTCGGCAAAGTTTTCTTTAGACAACTGAATAAGATATACAGAATCCTCTCGTTCTATTGTGTTTCGCGATGACCAAACTTTCACTTTGTTAAAAATGGAAACTAGAATTTTCAGTGCGAAAGTGAGTGCCTAAAGATCTCACTGATGATATAAGAGCTACTATTTCAAATGTACGATAAGTTGGAAGATCATGGTACTTACTCTCTACGCAAATTATTGACTTTTCAGTTGAAAATATTCCTCGACCGCTAAGGTAAAGCCAAAAATTTCGAGAAAATTAATAACAAAAGGGTTTACATCAGGAAAACGTTTCCCCTGCTTCAATTGTAACTACTTGTACATTCCGCACTGCCGCTATGCACTGGTTACTTCGTCATGTAAGACCTCCTCTTCTGTCTCAAGTGATCATAACCAAATGCGAATGCCTACAATTTGAAATCCGAGAAAATTCCGATTTTCTTTCGTTTCCTTTCGTTTTCATTTCCTTCGTTATCCAAAAATCAAGTGAAACAGTTAACAAACCAAATTTTATAAATTGATACTTGTAAAATTGACGGTACTGGAGTTGTTTGTCGAATAAGTCGAAATAAGAGCAAAGTGCTTTCATGCCAAGGAAATTTATTTTTTAGTAGCACTTGGAAAGTAACCTTGAAAACTCTTTGCCATGCACAATGAAAAATCTAAGAACATCGAATTAGGCGACAAAAATTTCTTGAAATTCTCCTTTTGAGGGAGAAAAAGGGCGCAGGTAAACGAAGGCCTTTATCCGAGTTGAGGGCCAGGTCTAATAATATCTGCGTAGCTATTAGTTTGATAAAACAAATGTGTATATATTCGTTTCCACTTACATGTAGCTTACGTGAAAGGCGTTAGAAACGGAAGAGGAAAGTGGAAAACTAGGTGTGCGGGCACGCCAAATGCACTCCGAAGGAGAGAGGAAGGGCGTGCCCCCTCTCTCCCCTCCCTCTTAAACGCCTGCACAAAATTTCCTTCCTACTTTCTTTGTTTAATTTAAAACTTTGTTCTGTTAAAGAACGTCTCTCGGAGACAAAAAACAAT